ACATTAAATTGACAATTTTTTTGTAAAATATTTTTATTAAAAACATTAACCAACAAAGATAAAGAGGTTTATGTTAAAATAAAACAAGGTCGATAATTCAAATAAATATTGCTTATTTGAGCTTTTGTTTTCAAATTCAAACCATCTTTAGTTTTTAGATCCACCTTTTTATATCGGTTATTTATAATTGTATTTAAAAAAATTAAAGTGTTTGAAATTTACAGTTTAATATCAACAATTTTTATGTTAAACATTTTTTACAAAAATATTAACCAACACAGATAAATATCAACCGTTAAAGATAAAGAAGGTATATAATTCAAAAGCTCAAATAAAAAATCTTTAGTTATAGTCTTTTTAGTAGAAACACCCTGAAGGTATTTAATTTATTACAAATAATACGCCCAGTAAACACCAAACACTCGGCAAACAGTTGGCCTTCGCTCGGCATAGGCGGTTGACCGGCGGTTCGGCTTGCCCCAGCCGGCCCGCTTACGGCCCGCGTTATGTTACCCCGGTACCGTTTAACCATGTTCTAACCGAAGTTGGCCAGAATATGGCATGCCGCTGAAAAATCCTTCGGCTTGCCCTAGCCGGCCCGCTTACGACTGGAATACGGCCTGCCGCGGCAAAAGCGATACATCTCACGGCTGCTTACGCACGCGAGCTAACTATAAATAGCGATTGGTTGCAATATTTAGTTGAAAGTGTGCGTCCGTAATGGTATAGCTGAACATTAATTGTTTGGAGTCCCAATCTCCGTCCTCATCTGCTCAGTAACGAATAATGTCTAGCTAGTCAAGTGTGTTAAAGAAGTATCTTGCCATTCAGAGAATTTCAGAACTGAACTTATAAGATATACCTCTCCAGGAATGGCCAGGCGGTTGTGGACGGGACTCGGCCAACTATACACAGCCGACACTCGGCCGAGTAAACATAGCCAACATTCGGCCAGGCGGATATGCCCGACAGTTGGCCAGGCGGACATGCCCGTTCTAGACGCCGGAAGAAAAACGTGTGTCGGGCCGCACGCGGCCGATTCGGTAAAACGTATTCGGGCCGTATGCGGGCCTGCAAGCTTGTGCTTACTGGGCGGTTGTTTTTTTTTTCTTAAATTGTTTTTTATGTTGGACTTTTCGACTTTTTCGTTAACCGAAACAATTTAAAAAAAAACAACCGTAGCTACGGTTAGTACGCGTACGCTGTAAAATATTTACCTTTTACATAATCTATGCGTTTTATCACAGTAAGAAAAAATCACAGAATATTACGTTGCACAGAATAAAACGTTGGCTATTTTGTGGCTATGGCCACAGAATAGCAAAAGTTTTATTCTATAAAATATTTACCTTTTACAGAATATATTCGGTAAAATCACTCAATAACCGTAATAGTTTATGCGTTATTTGAAACACTATATTTTATATGCAAATATTACATATCTTTATCTGTAATTTTACCAGCATTTTTTTATGTAAATATTACATATTTTTATCCGTAATTTTACCATCATTTCTTACTGTTAGAACTCCCCCCCATGTCACGCATAATACCATTATTATAGCACACAATTTTGAGTCTTGACCCCTTTCCCCTAAATGTACAGGGTGGTCCACGTAAGGTGACCCATATACTTATCTCAGAAACTACTGGAGTCACAAAAAAATTGTAGGGAACAAATATTCACGAAGTAAAAAATATTTTTAAAATATTATATTTTCATTTATACAGGGTGTTCGGTTTTCCTTGGGACGATACCAACTTTCTTATTTTCAATGGAACACCCTGTATTTTTTTGCATTTTTGGATTCTTCCCACTCTTTTAGGTATACTTTGTAAATATATTAAATAAGAAAATGTTAATACTTTTTGAGTAAAATTAAGATTTATTAAAATTTCTCTAAATGTAGACACTCGCTAAAAGTTAAAAATAACCAACTAAAAGTTATTATTTTTTATATTATGTAGTATCCATTTCTTTAATAATAAGTAAGCTATAAGTTAATTATTATATTTTTTGGAAAATTCTATGTCCCGTTGAAAATAGCGATTTTAAAAGTTTAAAATCTTGTTTTTCTTCAATGGAACACCCTATATATTTTTGTATAATTGGATAGAATAAGTAATTACCTTTAATTTTATATATATATGTCCTATACCTAAACCTAACAGAAAAAAAAATATTCGCATTTTTCACAATTAGTAGCTTTTTCCAATTATCTTAGTTAAATTTTTATTATTCAAAGAAAACACCCTGTATAATATTTTCCAAAAAATAAATTAATTAACTTATAGCTTACTTATTATTAAAGAGATGAATGCTACATAATATAAAAAATAATAACTTTTAGTTGATTATTTTTAACTTTTAGCGAATGTCTACATTTAGAGAAATTTTAATAAATCCTCATTTTACTCAAAAAGTATTAACATTTTCTTAATTAATATATTTACAAAGTATACCTAAAAGAGTGTGTAGAATCCAAAAATGCAAAAAAATATAGGGTGTGTAACGTCAAAATGAATAAATTAAAAATAAATTAGTCTTATTTGCTAGAGCTCCAAAACTGGCGACGTTACGGTCCTGTTGAGGTAGTTGCCCAACTCAGGGGTTGCGTGGGCGTGGGTTAATAATAATAAGCTGACGGGGTGGGCACCACTCGATTTATAAAACACCTCAACGGGACGATTTAAACAACAAATGAAACAAGATAAATCGAGAAACAGTTCACACTTGTTTATTGCCAAATTCAAGTTAACAACAAAACATTGATTTATCAATTTAAACTAATAATTGCTATACGCAGGTTAAATTAACAACAAATAACTGGTTGTTATCAAAATAATAGTTTCATAAACCACTTAGGGCCGGTTTTTCAATCGTTGGTTAACTTTATCTTATGGTTAATTTCCTTAGATACTATTGTTAACACAATAGTATCTAAGAAAGTTAACCGTAAGTTAAACTTAACCAACGATTGAAAAACCGGCCCTTACTAAATTAAATATGGTAACTGTTACTTTTGAGAAATAATCAAAATAAATTCTACACTCATGAAGTTATGCACCGTGTGATCACAGGGTTCACAATAGAACTCCTTAATAATATTAATATACTAAAACCTTAACTAAATATCAATTTACCAAAATAAATTCTTGTAGCGCCGTAGCTGTGACAAACTCAAATATTAATGACATTAATTAAACAAATTAAACCATTGGCTAACAACCAGGTGCACAGTCAAGACGACTACAAGATAAATTATAATTTATCACTTTCAATAAGGTTTGTTTAACCATAACAAACAGTTTGACATTTTAACAAAAATAATAATGAAAAGGGTGATACCAGGGTGATTCCAGGGTAAATTCCAGGGTAAATTCCAGGGTAAATTCCAGGGTGAATTGTCTACTTCGGGTAAGGGTCTTGCCAGGGGTGTTGTCACAATCAGGTGGGGTGTCACAATCAGGTGGGGTGAGGCGGCAGGCGTCGGGCTCAGTCTTACCCCGGCCGTCTCACAGTGTCGCTATCGGGTGGTATTGGTTGGGCTGAATCCGGACTACCTTCGTGGTATTTGACGTCACGGTCCAGCCAGTCACAAATCGAGAGAATATCCAGATATAAGAGATAGGAAGGTTGGTTATATAACTTGACTATATGTCTTCGGGCTATATAGTCGGACCCTAAAAATACACGACGCCATATAACACCTAACAAAATACAAAAGTCGACTGTACTCACGCTGGTGTCTTGATATTATCGTTAAATCTTGACACGATGGAGGGTGCGGTCTAGGTGAATGGCTTTGGGCTGACCCAGGAACTAAATAAGGACATCAACGTAAGAATTTCTGTTCAGAACCAAAAAAAAACAAGATGGCTTACCATGTGAGATCGCTTCTAATCCGGAATAAATCCGCTGTGGGTGAGAAATCCAAATATCCAATTCAAACTACTATTCTCACAACACCACTATACCTCTGCGAAACTTGATTACTCCCGAAAAAGCTCGGATGGCACAATATGCACTGGATAAGTCAAGAATGAGCAGATTTTTGTCTAAATTTCGAAAAATTTCTTCTATAAGGGGGATTTTCGTGACAAAACATACCTTTCGTCAAAGAAAATCCGAAACATCTCAGAATTTTTCGGGGGAGTTTCAGAAGTTTGAACCTCTTCGTCAGTGATATAATTCTCGTCACTTTCCATTTTTCACAAAATAAAGTATTTTATATACAGATTCGGATATATAATAAACATTGACTTTGAGATCAAAATATTGCCACAATGCAGTTCAATGCACTGAACTGAAGTCAGTATTGGTTAGTCGTTACTATTGGTGGCATTGCGCCGCTTATATATTGGCAGCAATAACAACGTGTTATAAAACCTTAACAAATGATATGAAACTATCGTTCTCTTTGTCACACTCAATGAAAAAGCATATGTTTCGCATATATTCGGCGTTTAAGAACCCCATATTAAGAACACATCCTTTTTCAATCCGCTTTCTTTTTCTGTCTAACGTAGTAAAAAGGAAGAGGAATAGAAGCGTGACAAAGATGATCAAAAAACGGGGCAAAAATGATGTTTTTTTAGTATTAGTATGAAGCTATCTTAAAAATCCGTAAAAATCCGTATTTGATGAAAATCCGTTCAAAATCCGTTTCCAATTTCTCTAGACCTGGAAAATCCGTAAAAAACGGATAAATCCGTTCATCTGGCAGCACTGGCCGGAAATGTTGTTAACAAAGTGACGTAATTTAACGGTAAAGAGGCGCAAAATGGCCAATTTGTTCCCCTGGGCAATTACCCATAAACCCTTTGAGCAACAAGTGACACGCCCATTGACATAAGTGATGTAGAATCACGTTCTAAATCTAAACGGTAAATTGACGAATCGCCAGACGTTAATGAGGAATTATACTAAGGAAGTCCAGACGTATTGTACAATAATTATTGTTATCGCGAACTTCGAACAGCCACTAGAATTTTAAGTTGATAAACAAAATCTATCCACAATATATCAAGGTCTATGGGAGGCGAGTGTACGTTTGGCAACACTGCCGTGTTCAACGTCATATCTAACCTCAAATAAACAGCTGATGCCTGAAAACAATGCATTTTACAACCAAAACAGCTTTAGATGGCAAAACCATGGACAAAATGGATAGACGAATGTCAATTAGCACTTAGCAAGGTTAAGCGAAATTCAATGGTTAACCGTCTTGGGTAAGCAGTTTTATAACCGTTGCGTTCAACCAGTGCAAATAACACTAAATGTTTATTTTTAGGTCCGTAAAAGGTGATAATTGAACATAATAATAGGGAACCAATGCCTGAATGTAATATTAACTATACAGCTAAATCATAAAGAAGATCGGCCTGTCACAATAACACAAATACGAAGCAATTATAGACCCCTCTATATATCTAATTATGGTCTCGATAGTCAAATTTTAGCAAAATTAAATACCCTCAAAAGTGAAACGTTACAGGTGTTCCATTGAAAATAAGAAAGTTGGTATCGTCCCAAGGAAAACCGAACACCCTGTATAAATGAAAATATAATATTTTAAAAATATTTTTTACTTCGTGAATATTTGTTTCTTAGAAATTTTTTGTGACTCCAGTAGTTTCTGAGATAAGTAGGTATAGGGGTCACCTTAAGTGGATCACCTAAAAAAAATATTCGCATTTTACAAAATTAGTAGCTTTGCGCGTATGGTAATTATTATAGTAATATATATTTATATATAAAAGCATTTTTATTTGTTGTTATTGAAATTTATTTATTTGAATAATGAAAATTTAACTAAGGTAATTGGAAAAAAGCTACTAATTGTGAAAAATGCGAATATTTTTTTTTCTGTTAGGTTTAGGTATAGGACATATATATATATAAAATGAAAGGTAATTACTTATTCTATCCAATTATGCAAAAATATATAGGGTGTTCCATTGAAGAAAAACAAGATTTTAAACTTTTAAAATCGCTATTTTCAACGGGACATAGAAAACACCCTGTATGATATTTTCCAAAAAATATAATAATTAACTTATAGCTTACTTATTATTAAAGAGATGGATACTACATAGTATAAAAAATAATAACTTTTAGTTGATTATTTTTAACTTTTAGCGAGTGTCTACATTTAGAGAAATTTTAATAAATCTTAATTTTACTCAAAAAGTATTAACATTTTCTTAATTAATATATTTACAAAGTATACCTAAAAGAGTGGGTAAAATCCAAAAATGCAAAAAAATACAGGGTGTTCCATTGAAAATAAAAAAGTTGGTATCGTCCCAAGGAAAACCGAACACCCTGTATAAATGAAAATATAATATTTTAAAAATATTTTTTACTTCGTGAACATTTGTTTCTTACAAATTTTTTGTGACTCCAGTAGTTTCTGAGATAAGTATATGGGTCACCTTACGTGGACCACCCTGTACGTGTGACGTACTTTATGGACCACGCCTAAAATGTTAATTTTGTTATTTTTTTAATAAATGAAATATATTAACTTTGAGCTTTAATATATTTTGTTATTTTTATTTTTGTTATTTGTAATACATAAAATATATATTTTTCTTATGTATTAATTAATTTTGTTATTTTGTTATTTTTTTATTAATTGTAATAAAATATATATTTACTTTGAGTATTTTTAACATTTACAAACTTATTTGAATAACAACGAACCACTAGTTTACAAAATTTTGCAAAACAATTTTATAATTTGATTTTAAAAAAAGAGGAAAGGAACCGACGTTTGTCTTCTGCAACCGGAAGGTTGACATAACGATGGTATTAAGGTCGATAAACGAGAGGGTTGCTTTACCTCTATAAAAAGCCAACCTTAGGTAAATAATAATAAACCTTATATTATCACTAAGGATTAGTTAGGAAAATAGTAGCCTATGAGACTAAGGGCCGAAAGGTGCCGTGGAAGAATGATACGGTTGACAACTTTAAAAAGAGGTCATTTCAGTTCACGTGGGACACATAGAGAGGCTGAGAGCTACTAAAATAAGTTAAGACGCAGCAAGAATATTAGCTGGAAAAGCTACTGCAGTGACGTTGAGATACTCCGGCAAAACAACCTTACGAACGTCAATGGAGGGACCAGAGACCCACAACTGGCACTTGGGCTTTGCCAAAGACATAGTGAGGTAAGTATCGGTAGAATGGACAGTGAACATGTTCAACACATCGAGACCGAACGGAATATTCCCAGCACTGCTACAGATGACCTAGGGGACTCTTCTACTAAAGGTGGAAAAGGTTTTCTGAGCCACTTTGGTACTGGAGTATGTTCCAAGAGTCTGGAGAGCTGCCAGGGTGGTCTTTATCCCTAAAGCGGGTAAAAAGCACTACTCAATAGAAAAATTCTTAAGGCCAATAGGTCTTAGATCTTTCATGTTCAAGACACTTAAAAGGATCGTGGACCGGTACTTGAAAGAAGGGGTGCTAAAAAAACACATTTGACAGGATCAGCATCAGTAGCACATAGAATTGAAAAGGCATTACATTACAAGAAAATGGCACTAGTCATATTCTTTGACGTAAAAGGGGGCATTTGACAAGGATAAAACATCAACAATTTGCGATGTGTTGCAAGCCAGAGAAACCCTTTCAGTCCTGATTAGTTGAGTTAAATCATCCTTGATAGATAGACATGTCAATACTTTGGTTGCCCACAAGGCGGCTGCCTATCGCTGTCTCTCTGGTGTTTTATAATGTAGAGGTTGACAACTTAGGAGCTATATACACAAGTATATGCGGTCCTAATAAGAGGAAGTGTTTTGGACGTACCTACCAACCTATCTGGATAAAAAAGAAAGCAATGGCAAACCACCAAGGATCAAGGACGCCAACAGGGATCCATTGAAATAAAAGAGCAAACTAACCTACTATTCGAAGAAAAAAATGTAATTTTTTTGCGCCACACTTAAACACTGTACATGTTGTTTATAAAACTAACAAATACCTATAATAAGGTTGCGTTTCCCATTTTCGCCCTAGTTTAATATTATTATTTAAATGCATTAGTATATTTAGTACTTATTACTATTAGGAATGTGGAAAATATATATTTTTAAATTTTGAACCTGTTTTTATTTTTAAAGTTTTTCTCCATAAGGCTGAAAAAATTCCATCTGTCCAGTCATTTGTTGCTACATCTAATCTTCCAAACATTTGTGCAGCTGTTATAGCTTTTGGATTCATTCTCATTTCTCTGAAATAAATAATATATTATAATTTAATTTTTTAATATACATATATATATATATATATATATATATATATATATATATATATATATATATATATGTAGTATCTGTTTTTTGTCTAAATATTTAAGTTGTATATAATAAATTTTGTTTTGCCTGAGAAATATAATCCCTACATAATTTTGCTTTTAAGTAGGTATATTTTTAGTTTGTTTATGACAGGATAAGAACAAGACAGGTCAAGTGTTGGAATTCCTAGGGGCGTCTGGCAATATCTGTGACGTAGAGGCAGGGAAAGTTTTCAGCCCAGATGTGTAACGGGTACCTGCGTTCAATAAGAAGGACAGATTTTAACGGGCCGTTGCGAACTGAAGACGTATTTTAATTTTTAACCTTTTTACTATTTTTTATTAATGTGTAATATCATAGTCACTTGTAAATAAAACCGATTTACCATCATTGCTGATTATTTCCCTACAAATTTTGGGGGCTCAACCGGGATACAGCAACGGTTATTCGCGAGTGGAAAGTGATAAGTGAGAAAAACAGTGCAAAATTAAAATTAAAACAACATGGCAGAATCTTTCACGAACGAAACTCCCAAGGCAGAAACGGAGTTGGTGTGCGAAGATATTGCGGATGAGCGAGTAAATAGCATGACGGTTACCGAACTCAAGGAGGAGCTGCGACGACGGCGGCTGCGAGTGACGGGTAACAAACGAGAGCTACGAACTCGTCTTATGGCCGCATTAACGTTGGTGAGAGTTCATGGGGCCCAAGATAATGAAGACGACGACGGCGGCAACGGTGAAGACGACGGCAACGGCGATGACGAAGACGACGGCAACGGCGATGACGAAAACGGCGACAAGAACGGCAGAGTGGTGGAGCACGCAGACGGCGGCCGCCACAACCGCAAGAGTCGAAAGGAAGACGACGACGACGAAGATCAAGAAAACTATGACGATGGCAACAGTAGAAATCGTGCGACGACGCCTACAAGAAGGAGACGTCGACGATCGCCATCAAAGCATCGGCTAATTTTTAGAGACGTGGAAGAATCCTTAGAGAAATTTAGCGGCGACAGTCACTCTAATGTTCGACGATGGATTGAGGATTTTGAAGAAATGTCAGAAATGTGCGAATGGTCTGACTTGCAAAAAGTGGCGTACGCTAAAAAACTATTGACGGGGTCAGCCAAATTATTTGTGGCGTACGAGCGCTGTGGAAAGACGTGGAAAAAGCTAAAGAGCGCACTGAAAAATGAATTTGATGTAGAAGTCGACAGTTACCAGGTGCATCAAGAATTAAAGGCCCGAAAAAAGGAAGCCGGTGAGACTCATCAAGAATACATATACAAAATGATGGAGATTGCGGGTCAAGCAGAGGTAGAAAAGCGGGCGGTGATTCAATATATTATTGAGGGTATCGACGATGACGCAACAAACAAGTCCATATTATATGGAGCAACAACTATAAAACAGCTTAAAGAACGCTTTGGCCAGTACGAAAACATGAGGAGAGAAATGCAAGGAAAAACAAAAGCAGCAGAACGAAAAGGCGACGGCAAAAGCTTCCAAAAGAAACAGTCTTCAGTGATAGAATACGCGAAGCCGAAACGGTGTTTCAACTGTGGTGAAACAAACCATATAAGTGCAGACTGTCCGGAAAAACAAAAGGGCGTAAAGTGTTTTAAGTGCAATGAGTTTGGGCATATAGCATCTAAATGTCCCCCGAAATCCGAAGAAACAATTAAAGAAATTAATGTTGTTTCACGGCAGGGTGAGCAAAAGTACATGAAAGCGGTACTGATAGGGCAACACAAGTTTGCAGCACTAGTAGATACGGGTAGTGATTTGACTTTCATGCGAACGGACGAATATGTGAAAATCGGATCTCCCGCCTTGCGAGATCGTAAAGTTAAGTTTGAGGGACTTGGTTCTAGCAGTAACGAAACTTTAGGTGAATTTACAGTAAATGTAAATGTAGATGAAGAAAACTATCCGGTTACATTTCACGTCGTGGCGGGCGAAATATTTAAACGGGGATTGCTGCTAGGAACGGATTTTCTAGACAAAGTGGAACTGCGCGTTAAAGGAGGTGACGTTACGTTCGCGAAAATAAATAAAACTGACAATAACACGGAAGTGCCGCATATTTATAAAATAAATGTGATCGATAACCTAGCACACGAAGACAAACCTCAGGATCGCGAAAAGCTGAAAAAATTACCTGAGAAAACCTGTAGTGTAGGAATACAAACCGAAATTATTCTGAAAGACGATAATCAAGTGTCGGCCAGGCCGAGAAGATTAGCTCCGTCGGAGAGAAATGAAGACGAGAACGTGCGTAAATTAATTGACGCAGCAACACGCGACGCGGACGAAGGTATTTTAATAAAAAAAGAACTTTTAGGTAAAGAAATCAGTGATGATGTGTTAGTAGTAGTGCCAAAGACAAAAGCAGTTAACCATTTTCCGAGACTTACGAATATTAAGACAGTGCAAAGTGTTTTAGGACTAACCGAATATTTTCGTAAGTTTATTCCGCGATACTCGCAAATAGCACGACCGGTAATGGACTTAAAAAAAGAGGCGAACTTTAAGTTCGAAGCGCGCGAAGTGAAAGGTTTTGAAACGTTAAAAACGGCGCTGACGTGTAAACCGATGTTACGATCGTACCGTGTTGACGTCGAGACGGAATTGCATACCGATGCATCGCGATACGGTTACGGGGTAATTTCAATGCAGCGTGACAGTGAAAATAGACAATTTCATCCTGTTGATCAGGCGAACGGGAAGACGACATCGGCCGAAGAAAAATACCCCAGCGCCAATAAAAATCGAAAAAAGGCGACAAAATTCAAGGAGGGCGATTTGGTAGCGATCAAGAGAACGCAATTCGCACCTGGATTGAAATTGCGTTCGAAATTTCTGGGGCCATACAGGATCGTACGAGTAATGCGACACGATCGGTACAGTGTTGCTAAAGTCGGCGAACATGAAGGACCACAGGAGACGTCATCAGCCGCTAGCCAAATGAAATCGTGGGCCAGCTGCGACAACGAAACTGATACCAGCGACGAAGACGCCGAAGACAACCTCTGAGGGCAGAGATTATTTTGTAGGATGGCCGATTGTAGTATCTGTTTTTTGTCTAAATATTTAAGTTGTATATAATAAATTTTGTTTTGCCTGAGAAATATAATCCCTACATAATTTTGCTTTTAAGTAGGTATATTTTTAGTTTGTTTATGACAGGATAAGAACAAGACAGGTCAAGTGTTGGAATTCCTAGGGGCGTCTGGCAATATCTGTGACGTAGAGGCAGGGAAAGTTTTCAGCCCAGATGTGTAACGGGTACCTGCGTTCAATAAGAAGGACAGATTTTAACGGGCCGTTGCGAACTGAAGACGTATTTTAATTTTTAACCTTTTTACTATTTTTTATTAATGTGTAATATCATAGTCACTTGTAAATAAAACCGATTTACCATCATTGCTGATTATTTCCCTACATATATATATATATATATATATATAAACATTATATGTATATTTAAATATTACATTCTAAAAATAAATGGAACATTCACCTACAAAAACTATTATTTATCTATAAGAAAACTGTGATAACTGTCTGTACCTACTTCCACATATTTATATTTTTTATTATAGTGTTTTTATATAATATTTGTTGAATATTTTTATTTTTCTACTATTTTACCTGCTATGAAATCATGTATTCTTAGTAGGTATGGCCTCACTTGAGACCACCCCCTCCACTTTTTTCCGACCCGCTAAGCCCCGCCCACTTTACCCCCTCCACTTTTTCCAACCCGCTTAGCCCCGCCCACTTTACCCCTCAGTCCTTCGGACGGACCACACGGACTGCGCTGGAAATCATGGGGTCCCGGGGCCCCCATGATTTTAGGAGGGGATCATAGGAGATGCCTATCTAAAATTCAAATAATAAATATCAATCGTCTGAATAATAGATACCCAGTGACCACACAATAGATGTTTTATCGCCGTTATCTATTAGAGCTCCAATGTTTTGGGACCTCGATAATTATAATCAGCTCGTGGTTTAAATAATTATTTAAACCACGAGCTGACCCTGATACTTTTTATTGTGACATAATGTTGCGTAACATTGCATCATTTTATTGTATCGCCGCTATCTATTAGATCTCCAATGCTACCAACTGTTTTGGGGGCGCGTTTAAACCACGATTTTAAAATAATTATTTAAA